CGGCCCCGTCCCGGCCCCACGCCCAGGGCCACCCCGGGCTCACCAGGGGTGGGTGTAGCCCCGGGGGGGAACCCGGGTGGGGCCAAAACTGCATTTTTGCAGTTCGGCCCAAGGGGTTCAGGCTGCTGCTGCGCACCCCCCTGTATATATCATCACAAACATATATATATATGTATATATATATGTATATTTTTTTTTGGGGGGGGGGGTTCGGAGCCGAGGTCAGGGGTCCCCACCCCCGGACCCCCGCACCCCGCCGGGGCCCCGGGGCCCCGGGGCCGGGGCTCGACAACCCTGACTAAAACTAGCTGTCCTCTACTCTCCTTTTTCATTTTGGCCCAGGCGGGCATCCTCTCTTTTAGCTCATCGGCCACGCCTGTGAGGGAAGTGCCTAGAGAGACCCTAACACAAGCGGTCTCTGGACAGCTGTCTAGACACCGGCCTGCAACCTCTGCCATAGGCACATGTGGTGTGGGAGATTCCTGCCGGCTCGCGCTCATTTCCCCACATGGCCTTATGGTAGGGGCAGTTGCTAACCCTACCGGCGGCTGCCTTTTCACCCCTGGCCAGCCCATCGGGCCTCTCTATACTTTGGACAAAATTTAATGATGTGGCCAGGGTCACCGCAATATATGCACTGCCCCTGGTCCACACGCTGTTGCTAGACGCGTTGGTCCAGGCCCAAATCTTCCCAAGGTCGGCCCTGCGACAGACTTGGGTGCCAGTTTCCTCTCTTATAGGGTGTTCTATTACCCCTATTAGGCGACCTATTCCCTGAACGGTTTTGCGAGGGACTTTGATCCCTTCCTCCCGCTTGGCGGTTTCCTCCTCTACCACCAACCCCCTGATCGCCCTGGGAACGGCCCCCTGAGGCCCGACCCCCTTTCTCTCTCTCTCTCTCTCTCTCTCTCTCTCTCTCTCTCTCTCTCTCTCTCCCTCTCTCTCTCTCTCTCTCTCTCGTCGTTGTCTTCTGTGCAGGTACACGTCACTTTCTTCTGCAGCGGAGCTATGGCGGCCTTCTTCTTCATGGTGGCGCTCTTCAACTATGCCGCCCTATGGCGCGCGTCTCTCTCCTGCTGCAATGGCGATGGCGCATGGGACAGCGGGTACCAGCTCCGATACCAGTGCAATCAGACTCACTTCCATTCACACTTCACACGTATGCAAACAGGTTGCGCAGCAAACTGGCGTCAAGCGCCCACTCAGAACTCAGAGATATAGTACCAAGAACGCAGCTCAGATACAAGTTCACTTCAAACTGCTATGGCGGCACACCGCCTGTACAACTCCCTGTTCGTCACATACTCAACACTGCTGTTCGCACACAGGACCACCCTGGATATCCCACACGCAACACCCTGTACACCCGCACACACCTACCGCTATGGCGGCTATGGCCGCTGCTACCCTGTCGCTATGGCTAACTTCCTTCTCGCCCACTTCGTCTCCGGGCTCACTGCAGACCACCTCGCACAAGTCGCTGTGGCAGCGCTTCCGCATGGCTTATGCAGGAATGGATGAATGGCTGGGTGCTGCCTCTTGATTTATACTCCTGTAACTCGCTGGTCTGCCCTTTTCCATCGGCCCATGGTGCACACAGTCCCTCATCGTACTTGCTGGACTGGACTGGGACTGACTGGACCGGTACCGCTGACGGCATGGGTTTGCACGGCAGACTCACTGCAGTCGCACTGCCAACGTACTGAGGTTGGCTCCACCACTTGCCCACTTGCCTCTGCCTAAACGTGAGCCCACTCCGAAAGGCCACTTGCGGGACCTTCCGGAAGTCTGAAGACGTGGCCTTTCGGGTACTGTAGCAGCTACGACCTTGACCTCTCAGGACTGTAGCAGCTACGACCTTGACCTCTCAGAACTGGAGCAGCTACGAACTTGACCTTTCAGGATCCCTACAGCTACGACCTCTACAGGGCTGTGACTCCTACTCGACAGACCTACAGATCGAACCCCTACCACTACACAGACCTACGATAGACAACAACAACTGCCACAACACAGGTCACGAGTTCAAACACTCGGGGTCGACACATATACTGTACACAGGTAAGGTGAGAACTAGGGATCGAGCCCTGGGATCTGCATTCGCTACTGCTAAAGGTGAAAACCGTTTCACTTCCTTCCTCATGCTGCCAAATCAACTATGTCATCCAGCCCTTTGCCTCTCTTTCATCCATTGAACTATGTGAGGGGGCCCCAATGGCTCATGCACACAGCATCCATAGCCATCGAAAAATTCAGTCACTCACAACTGCTGTGCTTTTTTTTTGGGGGGGGGGGGGTTGGAGTGTGAATACTGGCGATTCCTGTGCTTCTGTACAGCAAGAAATGTCCATGAATTCGTGAAACAATCCAAATCGCGTGCCGACTACATGCTATGAGCCTATGGCCATACTTGAGCCTACCATCCTTTCCCAGAATAAAACGCACGGTCCGTATCGTTGCATCTAGACTGACAGCTACCCCAAGAACAGCTATAATGACCATTGCATCTAGACTGACAGCTACCCCAAGTACAGCCATAATGACCATCCGTTCCATTCGAGGGGGAAGACGGTTGTCAATTACATGTACTGATTGTGTTTAATATATTCGGATGTTCAGATCACTGAAGCTGGGTCAACATTTCACAGGCAGTCCAACAGTCACAAACGTATCTAACCTCCTTGCAGTCCATGTTCAGAAAAACAAGTTCCGCATGCAAAATGAGCCTGCCGTTATCTGAGCACATGACAAGGTGCCTCCACAGCTTTTCCTCCTCTGACACCTCCGGGCCCTTCGGCACCCCCCACCCAACACGATAAACACACAAGAAAGAAGAGCACCTCTTTCCTATCACCAACACTGAGCATCATCATAATCCTATCTCTGTCATCATTCATCAAATGACACACCATTCTCAACTCAGCCGCGGAGAGCCTCCAGAGCAAACATCGCAACATAACGGTCGACAAACTGAGGGCATACTCACACTAGCTCTCTCGTGAATGCATCTGACCGTATTTACAGCTTGACCTGGTTGTATCTGGACCCAATTATGTCCATAAATAAGTAAAAAGGTCCTACTGTGAGTATGCCCCGACTCACGAAAAAGCACACCGGGCTATGATACCAATCAGTTATTCCTTACATAACGCCAAGAGGACCTATAGATACCTACCAGCCCTCTCTCCCAAGCGTCTTCAATGCAGATGTAGCCACCGAAAACCATACTGATGGCACCACCAGACCTGGGGGAAACCAAACGCCAAGAGGACCCATCCAAGACATGTGTGCCAATGACACCTCACAACCCCATAGGAGTGATTGAGATTACGGCATGAGGGAGTTAATCACACTACCGCTTTTTCGGCTGAGATCTGCGATGATGATTTGGTCAAGTACATCCAGTAGGCAGTCATTATTGTCAGACGCATCGAAGATAGTCCTGGTGTGCATATACGCTGAAGCACAGGAAGCAAGGCTGAGGGGATAGTTTTCCTTCTCTATCCTGTACCACCGCTGATATAACTAACTGAGGGTTACTACATTTCCGTCCAGGTTTGGGACAGAAAATTGCCGGTTCCTGTTGGAAAGGAACAAGGTAGCCAGGTGAATCAGACGACCAATCACGTGTGCATCTGTCAATCGAGGTGCATAGTCTTTTCCTCGGTAGTAAACCTGCAAGGGATGTTTACGCACTCACCATTGGAGCAGGCTGGAAACGCTTCTTACCCGCTACTTTGGTTACCTGCCTGCTTTCTTTCTTATCAATGGTCGGTCCAAGACGAAGAATCTGAGCGACACAGCCTGACAGTGGCCTTGTCTTACATTCCTGCAAAGCGATCACCTGTCCAAGACGAAGAATCTGGGCGACACAGCCTGACAGCGGCCTTGTCTTACATTCCTGCAAAGCCATCACCTCAACAGGGCATGGATTTAATAGCTACCCCTACTGTGTGTTTGCTTACCTTTGACAAATGTTTGCTGACGAAGTAAGACCAGCGAGAAGTAGGGCATGACATGAAAAGGTATCTCTGACAGAAAAAGACTGTCACGGTTGGAATGCACACGCACACCCTCACATCTGCGTGGTCTTCTGGATGAGGATATGTAACCGTATGTTGCTGTTGGGTGTATGTACACGAGTATAAGAGCTATCCTGGATGCACTTGGCTGCAGTTGGGTCTGGATTCAGACTCGCGGGAGATGAACTAGTGTCTGACTCTTTATTCTCTCTTTTCTTCCTGGTCATAGTGTCCGTGCGGGAAAAGAGAGATGGTTCCTGCAGATGGTTGCGACAGACCTGCACATGGTCTTGAGATTTAAGGTGATGCATGTTTTAGTAGCCAAGGAGGGTAATGGTTATGAGAGTGCTCAGAATCAAGGATGCTAGGCACTAGGTTGGGGCCAGGCCTAACTCTTGCTATGTTTTTGCTTGGTTGAACATGACCCATTTCTACAACTGGGTTCATGCTCTCTATGCACGAACACAGCACCACTGGGGCCTGCCCCTTGCGATCTTGTCCCAAATGGGATTTTCCCCTCTGTTAAGTGATGGTCCTCAGCGCCGAAGCACACATGGAACTAGCATCCAGGTTGGGACCAGGTCCCACTCGTGCTATGTTTGCTCTGTGCTTGCTTGAACATGACCCATTTTAGGACTGGGTTCATGCTCTGCATGCACAAACGCAGCACCAGTGGGGCCTGCCCACTGCGAACTTGTCCCAAATGGGATTTTCTCCTGTCTTTGGGGATGATTCTTGGGACGGAAGTCCACATGGTTGTTCGGGTGAGGACAACATCAGCACCGCCTTAGCTTGAAAAAAATTCCAGACCTAAGCACTACACACTTCTGGACAGAATGCATCCGGGTGCAAAGCATCACACACACAATGAGATCGACAGATGGAGATCCACCCACGGGGCAGTCACCATAAGAGGAATATAGAGAGGGCTAGCTCAGTAGAACGATGCAAGGCAGTCCAAAGTTTGAACTCATGACCTGCTGGATCCAGAAAATAGGGTAATGTAAGGAACATGAGTATGGACGAAGCACAGAAATCCGGAATGCAAAATCACACTGGAGTCCAAGTATTCAAAGCCAAAGCAGATAGCACATGGAACCGAGTAACCATCCCATTGAGAATGATACAGAAGAATCGTGAGTCAATGTCCATGCCCACCAGGGCAACACCAACAGCATAACCCAAATGTAGCTCTCTCTTGTGAATGGCGCCAGGCGCCCTATCTACTCTACAGCCTATCCTACA